CAGGGAAGACTGAGGGGGGCACAATGCACACATTCAGCTGCTGTACCAAAAGACGACTTCCACCAGAGCAAGATGCCCCTCTTCTCCACTACCTTTTTTAGCAGGATAAGATTTCTTTGCTTGTCTCCCAGTGGAGGTGAATAACAAGCTCTCTTTTTTTTGCCCTCCCCTCATTTCACAGCCATCTCCCTTCCCGTGACAAACGACATGAATAAAGGCGACACTAAGGTAAGGATGGGCCTGTAGTGGAAGGGGCAAATGAATTTGAAGGATGTGATGTTTAACCTCCACCTAGCTGTCAGGCTTTTGGCTGCCCCTGCTGAAACACCCTGTAGGAAGTGCCAGGGATTTGCAGGAGATGCCTACAGCAGGATTCCTCCTCTCCTCCCTCCCCCCCCAAGATTTACCCTTTGTGCATCTGCTTGTGGGCACCTGGGCAGGAAGGAAGTCCCTCAGGATGTACCAGAGGGACCAAACAAGCTTGTCTGGAGAATGGTGAGGCTGGGGATGGAGGTTGGGTATAACCCTCCCCAGTCCTGCTATTTTCAGCTTTTCAAAGCTCCCAACAGGAGGTGACTCAGGGGAGAGTAGGGGGAGATGTGATTCAGGAAAGGGCATTGCTGGAACCGTGTGTGTTTGGGGGTGTGTATACATCTGTGTTTGTATGTGTGTGGTGTGTTACTTAAACACTCATGTTCCTGAAAAATAGGCAACTGGCTACTCTCAGCTTGCTAATCTGTCCTCAGCTGCTGCTCAGCCTGTCTGGATGTCTACAAGCAGTGCAGCACTTGGCTGACCTCTCCAACCTTCTTTTATAGGCTTCTGTGCATACATCTGTGTCTTACCTCTCTGACAGTTACAGCTGCACTTAACAAGTGTGTGCACTCCCAGTGGGCTTTCGGCACCTTTGCATCGGTGTGTTTGCCTGTGTTGATCTGTGACAGACGTCTCCTTCCTGATATTATAATGCACGTAGTCTTTCAGATGAGCTGATCTCTTAGCTGCTAAGATTTCTACTGAAATTAAGATCTAGAAGGGAAGCACCGGCCTTTTCCACCTCTACTTCTTGAATGTCTTTGTTTCCTGAAATCTTTTAGCCACATAATGTTTTTCCCCAGGCAGCAGTAGGGGAAGGCACATTCACGTCACTCTCAGCCACAGGCTCCATTGTACAGTGTCTCCGCTTGTTGTTACCCACAGGGCAAATGCCATGAGATATTCTTCCCCCTGTCCTGTCAGATGTGCCTGGGCCTGGAGAGCTGTTGCTTTGTTAAGACCTTTAGCCTGCTTAGCCCTTGCTGGGGCTGAGCCATGAGCTGTGAGCCACCAGGTGTCTGCCTTCTTCAGGCTCTGTGCTGCTAACTGAGAAAAGGGACAGAGGGCAAACACTTGCCCCTTCAAGGGGCTGTGCCAGAGTGGGATGGGGCATCTGGTGGGACAATCCATTAACTCTACAGTTTTTCTCAATGAGATCTATTCCCTAATATGTTCTATATGGCACTTCCCAACAAGCCACGTCTAGCTTTTTCAGAAGCTGGTGTGACTCCATGGCAATGCTTCCACCGAGGAAGGGTTGTCTCCCAAGGCTGTCCCCTCCCTGGGTACTTCACTGACACATGCTCTAGCTGAGAGCAAAATCAGACCACACCTTTCTTTTGATTTTTGCTGCAACTGGAAGGAGCCGTTAGGGATCTTCTGCCTTCACCTCCCTCTGAGACACAACATTTCAGTGAAGGAAGTCCTGGCCTCATGGGACAGATCAGGGCAAGGATATCATTACATGGGTACTGCAGTGAGCACCACACCTCTTCCTACACACCATGCTGCTGTGGATATACTCTGTGCCACCAGCATTTGTGGGTGGATTGGGGCTCTGAAAAGGGTAGTCAGCATCTGCAGGCCTTTCCTGGGCAGTTCGTCTGACTTCTCTTACACTGAGGGCTTTCCATGGGGAACTAAACACGACCAACACATTTACAGTATCTCTGGTGTTTGCTCACTCTTGTGCTCAAAAGACACTGTTTCCTACTCACAAGCATACATTTCAGAAGGGCCTGAGCACAGCCGTGCTCAAAAGTCATGAAGTCTGTCCTTATAAGGACATGATCCTTTGGAGATTTCTGTGTAGGGACAGCATGAGCAGCTCTTAAGGATCTAGTTACATGCTCACAGTTAGAAGATAGCTGTGGCAAAATTCCAGTCCGAGTTTCTGCACTGGATTAATTACATTCATTTGGACAGAATCTCCTTCATTTCCTACTGCAGGCTGTTATTTCATGACCTTGTGAAGTCTCACTCTGCAAGACTTGCTCTTACAAAAAGTCAAGGAGAGTGTTGTGGAATGACTGCACTCTTCGTTTTATTATGTTACAAAGTTCCTCCACAGAGTTGGCTGTATTTCTGTGGTGACTGATGTGTTTCTTTGTGTTCAGACAAAGACCTTAGATCAGCTTAGAAGTCCTCAAAAAGCTTGTACAGAGTGTTTCATTGGACCAGGTTCTGATTTCTCATGCTGAGAAAGTCCTTACTTCTGAGGCTGCGTTGAATACAGCTGCAATAAGTGGTTCCAGAGGTTGGGAAACGTGGGAGGGAAGTATCAGAATCTGGGGTTTGTTCAATATAATGGTAGAGTGAAGTGACTCGAAGTCATCTAAAATCAATATTAATGGATTGCTTGTGGTATAAGAGAATGATACCAGGGAAATTTCCCTGCTTTCTTTTTGTTAGATCTCTCCTGTAACATTTTTAATCCAGCAGACAATCCCCTCAAACTGTGTAAATAGTTAAGAGTTCAGCATTTTATGGCTGTGATCTGCAAAAGCAGAATTGTCTCCTTACACAGGGCAAAAATTTGCCCATTCCAGCTGGTCAATGAATATATCCAATTGCTTGAATGGGCAACCCTGAAGATGACTGGGAATTGCTGACTTGTGTTTAATTTCTACTGCAGCCGCAGTGCTTTGCTCTCCTGGGAATGGCACCTTGTGAGGGAGGTCAGGACTCTTAGGGCTGCCTGCAGAAATCATCAGAAGAAAGAGGCTCAGTGAGCGAGTTCTTTGTCCCCAAGGCTTACTTGTATCCTTTTATTTATTTTTTTTTTCAATTTAGCCTCTTTTTTCCACAGGCACTCATGAGCTCTGCATGCTTTCTGGGCTGCTTTATAAATAACCATCCTTTTGAACTAAGGAGCCTGCACTGGACTGCAGAGAATGCTGCTTTCTCTCCTGTGTGACCATTTGGGTCTACCATGACTGCACAGCAGGGGTCCCGGTGGTGTGTCTCAGTGTGGCAAGGGTACTTTCCCCCCTGCCAGAGCTGCTACCTTGCCTTTGCGCCTCTGGCTTTCATTTTCTTACCGCACATACAGCACTGGGTGATCCCTGTGGGATCGGTGGTGCTGCAGCTGCAGGGGTGAAGAGCCTGCAGTCTCGGTACAAGTGACAAACTCGATTAATAAATCTTCTCATTTTGCACCGAAAAAAATAGGCTGCTGGAAAGGGGAGGCGCAGAGTTCATCCTGTCTGGGAAGCTGCCTCAGGCAGTTGCAAATTCTTCGGAGGCAAGTGTGGGAACTTCTTTGCTTTCAGATGACTTGCCTCCATGAATAGCTCTTCCAGTCTATAATAGATGATTTTAACACTCAAACACAGGGTCAAACACTTCTCCGGAGTGTCTTGTCTTCTTTCTCTAGGGCTTGAGATTGGTATTTCTCATCCGTGTTGGGAAGTACAATTTGCCTCATGTCACCCTCCATGCCTGGCTGAAGTCTAACTACAGTGCCCTTCCCAGGGCTCAATGAGCTTGCAGATTTCAAGGTCACCTCTTGAAGATCTTGACCACTTGTTGCTCTCTACAACCTCCCACTGAGCCCTTTTATGAGATGCAGGTTGAGATATATTGACTCTCTATGTACATACCCAGATCCCCTTTAATCTCCTGATGTGCCCAGCCTCTGAGATGGGCTAGAGTAGCGAGATCCTCAGTGGAAGTGTGCATCATGCTGAAGAAGCTCTTTCCATCGCCGTGTGTCATTTGCTCACTTCTCAGTTTCGGGAGGTACCTTCTGTTCCTGCGTTAGGTAAAACAGGAACCGAACATTCAGTTCTGACTCGACCAGAAAAGCAGGAGGATCTGTGCCATCATCTGCTGTGTTTTAGCCTTGGTAAAAAATAGATTTAGGGGAAAAAAAAAGACAATAAAGCAGTGCTTTAATTTGTATTTTTGTCTCTTTCTAGGTGATGAAGTGCATCGTAGAGGTCATCTCTGATACTTTATCGAAGCCAAACCCTCTGCCGATCAGCGAGGAATGCCTAGAAACACTCAGAGGAGGTACAGGTTCAGATTTAACGCTGGGTATCAGCAAGAGCAGATCTGGCAGAGATACAAGCAGGGGCTGGTCCTGCCCTGACACGCTCTAGCACCTGACAAGGGGGCCATGACACACTCGCCTTCCTTGGGGTCACCCCACCAGGCTGCACCAGGCCCCAGAAGCAGGGATGGAGTCACTGCTCAGCCAAGGCCATGCATCATGCTGGCACCGCAGCCAGGGGAGGCGCTGGGTGACATGAAGTTGACTGGTTTTCGTGGGACCTTCCTGTCATCTTAACCACACAGTTAAGAGACGTGGCAGCTAATCAGGCCAAGGGAGAGAAAAGAGTAAACAAAGAAGGATGTGGCATTTGGGGTTGTTTTTTCATTTCTTGGGGGTGGGGAGAGGTTGTCTGACCACCTTCTGTACCAAGTCTCCTCTATTGCAGATGAACGTATCATTTCTATCCTTCGCCACCAAAATTTATTGAAGGAACTTCAGGAAATTGCAGCTCAAGGTACAGTTTCACTACAGTTTTTGGGAAGAGGGGTTTCCTCTGTTGTAGCTCCTTGCACAGTTTTATTGTTTGTTGGAGTTGTTTTTTTCTATTTTACATTAATTTGACATCATATGAATATGCCCTAGGAAATCTAGTTGCAGGACTTCCAGCAGAGATTGGGTGAGTGGGGACAGAGATTTTGCTTGTAGTAACTCCAGTGTGCACCTGATGATTTAGATGACTGTCACTGCAACTTGGTGGCGATGCAGAGTATAGGCCTTTTGGGGTGGGAGAACCCTAAAAGGAAATACTGTAATTTAATTCAACAAATAACCACCAGCTCCCAAGCTAGAATGAAAGACAAGAAAACCTTCACTGTTTGTGCAGCTGGAGTCTAGTACTAAATCCAGGTCTGGCAGAAGGGAAGCCTCACTGAGCATCGAGCAGGACTTGCACCTAAGAGACCCCAATGAAAGCCCCCAGTGGGGATTTTCCTGTTGGCTTCCTTAGGTTGAATGCAAGTTCCTTTGGTTTGGAGAGGTGTGGGCAGCTCACCACTTGTCAATGTAGGAGCAGCAGCAGCACAGAACTGTACAAAGGGTGTGCAGTGGGAAAAAGGGCTGTTGTCAGGTGCCCAGGTCCTCAGAGCTGGTCTGCAGGTCCCATGCACAGCTACTTCAAAGCCGGTACAGGCCCCTCGATGCGGGTGGCCCCATTGAGGCTGCAACAGGGCTCTCCTCACACTGGAAGGAGAGCAGCTCCTGGCCTTCCCTCCTCCTTCTCCTTGGGGTAACCCAGATGGCAGCCTTTCCTCGCCAGGCTGTCCCTGTGCCCTGCTCCTGTGTGGCACAGCTTCTGGGGGTGGCTGGATGCAGTGCCACCAGACTCCTTTCAGAGCAGGGAAGCCACAGAGGCATCAGGGAGAAGGAAGAGGGAAAATTCAGGAACTCAGTGTTAGGAGAGGGCCCCATGCAGCTCTCAAAGCAGTAGTTTGGTCACTGCCCAAGTCCCAGTTGCGGAGGGGCCAGCTGCACAGTGACCCCAGACAGGCTCCGTGGATGCTCTGGTGATCCAGAAGAAAGAAACCTGGGCCTCTTCAGTGCACTGGGATGCTGCTGCCCAGGCACACCAGGGTTGTGAGGGGGAGCGCTCAGCTATCAGACAGGCTGTGCCGTACAGCGTGGAGTCCATGTGAAGGGGCTTGTTTCACAGAGGTGCATCTCGCTCCGTTCTTTCCTTGGCTTAAGCCCATCACACCGTTTTGGTCTGGGCTAACATGAGCTCTAATCTTTGGATCACAGTGACTGGGGATGGGAGAGTCGTGTAGCCCAAGGGAAAAGCAAAGGTATTTATCTCGGTCTCTTCTGCGCTGGCTGCAGCTGGCCCTGCTCAGGCTGGAGAGCCCACACCATCCACTTCTGTCCCCCTAAGGCATAGAAGCAGAGCATGAGCTGGGTCAGACAGGGCTTGCTTGGCTTGTGGTTCCCGGTGGGATAGAGCTGCCTGGGGAGCTCTGGTTGCCAGCACAGCTGTGCTCTGACCTCCAGCTCGTGCTGCCTTCAGGCAGCGCTTTCTCCAGGGTGTCGCTTTTGTTGAGCTGGGTGTATAACCCCAGGGGCTAAGGTGTGGGGCCTTGGGGCCATGGTCCATCCGGGGAGTGGGAATGAATGCTGCTCCTCCCTCTGGGGGAGTGGTGGGAGGGTAGCACCTGGGGAGAGGGGCCCCCAGGAGCAGGCAGGAGGTACAGGGGCTCTCAGTGTTCACTTCAACAGAGGTACCTGGGCAGCATCTGGAAGGAGGTCACTTTTATCCTTCAATATTCTGATGCTTAAGTCTTTTGTTGGCCTCAGTGTGCTGCAGTTCAGCAGCTCTTATTCCCTAGCTCTCCATCAATATTAGTTTTCCTAGCAACCCTGCTTCTCTGTTTGTTTAGAGACCTTTTTCTTTCCTGCAGACGATGTTTTTGATGGTGGCTTTGTTGCTGCAGTTGGTTCATGTATCCTCCAGTCTCACTTCTCCTCACAGCTCCCCTTTGGCAAACTTGTCCATTGTAGAAAATATGTATATAACTATAAAGGGCACAGAACTCTTTTCCTACCCCTACTTTCTGTACCACAGCCGGGGATGTTGCCTTTCCCTGCTTTCTGTTACTTAATGCAGGTGCCAATGAGAGAACTCAGCAGCAGAAGAAAAACAGTGGCTTCGAAGATGAACTTTCCGAAGTCCTTGAAAGTCAGAACGACAAGAACAAGCAGAGAGGTCAGTGTCAGCCTCCCCCCCAGGGAAATCCAGGTCAGGCTGTAAACAAGGATGTTCTTTCTAACAGCCTTGATATGTCCATCTGCTGCTCATTTAGGCATCTTCTTTGATACTGTCGCTGACACACACACGCAACCCGGTGTTTGCTTTGTTCTTATTTGCCAGCTTAAATAACGTGTAATTTCTGAGCTATAGTAACCGGTGACGGTCAAGTTACCAAACTGCTACTGATCTTTTCCACCCTGCTGCCAACACCATCGCTCACTCCTAATGCTTAAAATGAGTCACAGCCAGGGATAGCCCATTCTGAAAGACTTAATGATATAGGCAAGAGTGATCTGGGTCTGCTCCTGCTGTCCCTGTGTCCCAGGCATGCAAGATGCTAGGTTATGGATCTCTCAAGGGAAAACTGAACTTGGGATACACACAGTGCACACACCCATACAAAACACCTGCATCTTGGGAAGACCACATTCAGCTGGGATTTCCCCCTGTCACTGGGTTTCTATGGCCTGGCTAGAGACAGGCGGTGTAGCAGAAAGGAGGGTTCAGCTCCTTCCCTTTTCCCCATCAGGATGCCAATGTGGGGTGAGGTGACTTCTCATCCAGCAGCAGCACCCCTGCAGAGGGTCTTGAGCAGGCTCTGGGGCATGTGGCTGAGCCACGGCAGCACAGCGATGCCGCAACATCAGCCCAAAGCTGCCCAAAGCGATGAGGAGTGATACCCCTGGGGGCTGCTGCTGCAGCCAGCACGGCCAAAAGCCAACGGAGAGGATGGGTGGCCCTCAGTCTCCCTCCTGCTGGGGCAGACCTGAACCTCTTGCTCCAGCAGTGTGGCAACTGCATGAGAATGAAGCGTGGCCCACTGGGCCATCCAGGCCCGCAGGCAGCTCAGTGATACCAGCGCAGTGTCACTGGTGCTCACCAGCCCTGCGTGACCGCCTCTCTGCATCCCCTCACCCCAGCACACTCCTCAGCCCTGCATGGGGGCACACTCACCCTTCAATACCCATCTGGCTTTTCCCACTGCTCTTAAGCCCCCCATCTTTTCTTTTGCAAAGTGGCTAATTATGTTAAAAGAGGCCAGTCTCTGACACGAGCAAGAGCCAATACCCAGCCCACGCTAAGCTCCTGCTGAGCAGCTGCTTTGCAGACACAGAGCTGCCCCCCCTCCTCCCTCTGGCTTGCCCGCAAACAGCACCGGGTCCCTTTTCGATCTGGTGGGAGAAATAAGGATGTGATGATGTTGGCGCAGTGCTCGGAGAGGGGAGAGCCAAGCAAGTGCCGTATCACACTGCTCAATCATTCCATTTTACGTGCGATCTGATTTCACGCGGGGCAAGTTTGTTGCTGGCGTCTCAAGAGATGGTGCCGAGGAGCGTGCCGCAGCAAAGCACTTCGGCATATGTTTCGCTTCAGCCTGGCGAGTCTCTTCAGGAGAGCAGGCACCAGTGAGAGCACCGGCTCGCTTGAACGCAAACATATGTTGAAGTGACTTGCGAAAGGATCCACGGGCTGGTTAAGCAGTTCGCTGAGCGGGGCTGAAGCTCCCTAAGCCACACGCGGGCTTTGCTGGTTGTGAAACGAGCTCTCAGGAGAGGTGTTGCTTCTTGCTCCTCCCTCTGCAGATGCGGCAGGGGAGCGCCCTGAAGAGGAGCAGCCCACAGGGTCCCTGGCTGAGCAGAAAAGCCAGCAAAATGAGGATTCAAGAGAGGAAGGAAAAAACAGCCTGGAGGAGAGGGAGCCCAGGCCACGGGATGCTGACCCTGGAGAGAAAGAGGATCAGGAGGAAGGGGAGAGCAACGAGATCGGGGGCGCAGAGGATGCCCAGCGAGATGAAGCTTTGGACAACCACATCAGCAAAGACTTCGGTGAGGACGAGCGGCAGCAGCGAGGGGATGAAGAGGAGCAGCCTAGAGGCTCCAGGGACAGCCTGGAGCTTGAGGATGAGGGAGAGCAGCCATCCAGGCAGGGCCAGGAGCAGAGCAAGGAGGCAGCAGGGGAGCGTGTGGAGCGGGAGGACGACGGAGGAGACGATGCTGCAGAGGAGGACCCTACAGAAGAAGAGAGGTCACTTGATTTGGCTGAGGAGGACGAGGAGGCTGAGGAGATGCAGGGAGATGACAGTACGTATCCCAGACGACTACACAGATACCTACCCGGGGTAAGCTGAGAGCAGACGGATAAGAGGCTTTAAAGCCTAAAAGTTCAGGCAGGTGCTTACCGGGTTTACAGAAATACCCGCGCCGACAGCCACCCCCACCCCCCGGCAAGTACCTGACCACGTGGGTCCCCGCACAGCGGGTAACATGGGCCCAGCAGCTGCCTGCTGCTCAGTTTTCATAGCACCCAGGGACAACTAGTTTCTTTTTCTTGAATTTCCTACGTGGTTTTTGACTGCTGCCTCCAAGCCCTGTGACTGACATGGTGACGTGAGAATGGGTATCTCCAGAATCCTGGGAAAATGGGCCTGAGTCAGGAAACCCACCTTGTATCGCCCCTGAAGGCTGGCTTCAAAGGTGGAGCGTAACCGAGTTAACGCTTGTGCTCACTGTTGTATTTAATGCTCTTTCAGATAACGACGATGCTCTGGGATTTGGCAAAGACGGGCAGAGCTCTGAGGAGGAGGAAGAAGAGCAGCCCCGGGCTCTGAGAGGAGGAAGGCATCACCTGGAGGACGAGGGGATGCAGGGGGAGAAGGACACCTTCCAGACCAGGGATGCCAAAAGTGATGAGATAGAGGAGGAGTCCTCCAGGGAGTGGGAAGACTCCAAGAGGTGGAACAAAATGGATGAGCTGGCCAAGCAGCTGACGTCGAAGAAGCGCATGGAGGAAAATGATAGTGAGGAAGACCCAGACAGGTCCATGAAAATGGTGTTCAGGTCCCACAAGTATGACTTCAGCAGTCCAGAGGAAGATGTGAGAAGGTCGTGGAAGCACCACTCGAAGGAGGACAGCAGTGAAGGAGGCTTCCCGCTTGCTCCCATGCCTGAAGAAAAGAAGGATGAGGAAGGCAGCGCTAACAGGAGAACGGAGGTTGGTGTACGTAGCCTTAAGAATTAATCCCACACGGTTATTACTCAGGAATCCAAACCATGTTTGGAGATGTAGATAGTACCTTGGCATTATGCAGCCAGCATCGGTTCTCTGTAACATTAAGGAGATGCTTGGTGACTTTTTAGCCATTCAGCCCTGGGTATTACTGAGACCTGCACCTGTCTGTGCCCTTGGTTTTTTTCCTTGTTTTAGTGACTAGTGGAAAAACATCCCCTGCCCCAGAGACTCTTAAAAATAAGGCAGGACTTTTGCACTGGTTTTGCGCTGGACAAGGTGACCAGAGCTGTCTCTGAAGCCTGGGGTCGGGTCTTGTGTCCCAAAGCCCCTCCAGGTCAAAGGGAACAATTTCCCTGGCTTAGGGATGGAGTGAGTAGCATCAGACCTCTTACAGAGGCAAACCAGGGTGCAGCTGTATTGAGAGAGCTGAGGCATTGCAGTGGAAATGGCTGTGAATATATGAATATATGTGAATATATGAATATATGTGAATATATCTGAGCCAGGCTTCCAAAGTTAGACACCTCCTTCCCTGGTACCTCGTGTGATGCTATGTGGTAGCTCAGCACCTCCCTGGCAGCCAGGAGTGGCGGTTTTGCCTTTGTCCTGAGGCCCAGCTCCAGGCATGGGGTATGCGGATGTTGACTCTGGGACAAGCCACGATTGGGTGCCTGGGAACAGACCGGGGCAGCAGGGGAGTGGATCCAGTTTGCTGCAGCTCTCTTGCCTCCAAAACACCCCTCTTGCCTTAGTTATGCACCAAAACATTGCCCAAAGATTGCCCCTCAGCATCCCCCACTCAGAGAGCATCTCCAGTCGTGCTGGTTCAAAGCAAAGCCAGATGTCTCGGCGCCGAGCGAGGATGCAGCGGGTGCCTGCTGAGGAGGTGGGCATCTGCCCCATCTGCCCCATCACCACCATCTGCGCATGTCCTAGGTCGCTCCCCGAAGAAGGCTGCTCCCCAACCACCCCTGCCAGCCTTGTCTGCAAGGTGGTGGGCTCAGCCTCCGAACAGGGATGGGGAAGGAGGTTGCTGAGGCTGCAAAACTGCAATGTTTACAGTTGCGACAAAACATTTTGGTGTTTTTTTTTTTAAAAAAACTAGGTCAGGGCCTCTGGGAGATAGTGAGGAGGCATCAGACTGGTCACCTGGCAGTGACGGAAGGCACAGGCTCTGTCTCTGTCTCTGCCAGAACAGCTGCCACCCTGTCCCCTCTCCTGGCTTTTGGGCTATGTGCCTGCATGGCTTGGCCAGTGAGGCCAACATGGGCACAGCCCGGGGCTGTGCGCGCCATCCCCTGCACTCGCCAGGGCTCAGCACACCAGAGCCTTCCCAGGGGCTGAGCCAAGGGCTGTGCGGAGGGGCAGGGCGACTTTTTCCCTGTTCAGGAAAATAGTTCAGGGATGAGAAAAATGCCTTTTTTTTTTTTTTTAGCATACTTTCTTTATTTTTTTTCACTCTGGCCTCATGCAGTGCAGGCCAGTGGCTCAGCGTTGCCCTGTGCTTGGTGGCTGCTGCAGGCAGCAGCACAGCACCGCTCCCTCCACACAGGAGGGGGACCTTCGCCTCAGCTCTGCTGGCAGAAAATGCACTTTTAGCACGGATGGCCCCAAGTTGGCTCTCGCAGAGCCTGCTGCTGCCCTGGGCAAGCCCCCGGAGATGCAGCTGTGAGAGACAGGCAGGGTTGGGGCTGGCAGCGGGACAGGGACAGTTGCGTTTGATGGGAGTTCAGACAAAGCCACACAGTTATGAGTTTGAGTACCTGCGCCAGATAAAATAGCTTCAGGTGATGGCATAGATGCACAACAGCCACTACAGAAAGGCCACCAAGTGATGGGCAGCATGAGCCTTTAAACTGATGGCTCCCTCAGTCACCATTTTCCCAAATGGAAAAGCCTCTTCTGGCCCTGGAGGTGCATGTGGACACCCAGCGCAGCACGGGGAGAGGGGACCCCCCCGTCCCCGCCACCAGCGGGGCACACACTGTCCTTGCTGTGGGTGGCAGGCACCCATGCCCGTCCTGGTTTGTCACCGCTGCCTCAACACAGGCGCCCGGGGCCGTCTGGCAGCACCCACCCCAGCCCCGGTCCCCCGGCAGCCATCTCCCTCCAGCCCCAGGCTCTGCAGGGAGAGACCCTTCTGGGGGCTGCCCTGCCCGGCAGTGGGGCTGGGGAAGGACAGGAGCTGCGTGTCTTGTCCCCATCACTGGTTGCAGCGATTTCAGGTTAGAAGACTAATTAGAGTTACGCACAGACAACATCTGTCCAGAGGAGCGGGCTGAGGGGACAGGGTGAGAAGCGGCCCGTGCTCGTGCCACCCCTGGCAGCTCGCCCTGGGCAAGGCTTCCCATAGCTATGGGGTGGGGTGGGGGGAATAAAAGCCTGCCCACCCATGGCCGCTGACGCCTGTCCCGGGCTTTCCTTGCAGGACCAGGAGCTGGAGAGCCTGGCCGCCATCGAGGCCGAGCTGGAGCGCGTGGCCCACAAGCTGCACGAGCTGAGGCGAGGCTGAGGGCACCAGCCCTCCCCGCGCCGGCGAAAGCCTCCCTCCCCACCGTTGTTTTTCGTTTCCCGATTTAAAAGCAATTAAGCCGGAGCAGAAGCGTCGTGCCTAGGAAACCGCCCTCGCTAGCGCCCAGGCCTGCCTTCCCTCGCCATCGTGTTGTGCCCGTCACCGCTTCTCCACCTCACGCTCCCCCGTCCCCACGGTTGCCCACCCGACCAGCTGGGTGCCGGTGGGCACGAAGCGCAACCTACACATGTGTTTTTCTGTCCGGGCGGGTGGGTTTTTTCCCTCTTTTTTTTTTTTTTAAAAAAAAAAAGACAAGACAGCTTTCTAGAAAGTTCTCCTTCCACTGGTAGTTCCACTGGGTAAAAAAAACCAAACCTGCAATAACTTGTTATCTTTTGATTAAAAGCTGAGAACTCTGACTGTAATATATTCTATATAAAAAATTTATCTAATGAAAAATAAAACTGCAGTGTGTTCCTTCCTTTGTTCTGGCAGCTTCAGTGTGGGTCGTCAGTGCGCTGCGGGGCTCGTAGGCTCCTGGCGGAGGGGAGGGGGCACGGAGGCCTTCCCCCTGCACAGACACACTGCGATGGTGTGTCCCTCCTTCCCCAGGCGCCAGCGCTGCCACCCACCGAGGCCCAGCATTGGGGACACCTCCATACAGCCCAGCCCCAGCACTGGCTGTCCCGGGTCCATCAGTGAGACCTGGGTCATATCTGTAGCTCATCAATGAACACGGGGTTACAGAATCACAGAATCACAGAATGGTCAAGGTTGGAAGGGACCTCTGGAGATCATCTAGTCCAACCCCCCTGCCAGAGCAGGGTCACCTACAAACCAGGGTTGACCAGAAAGAAAACAGTTTTGAGGTTTAAACACTGGGGCAAGAGTTGGACAACGCACAAGTGGGTTAAAAAAAGTAACGAATAGGCTAGTCAGGAGGAAAAGCACTGGTCTGTGTTCCCCCAGAGGTGAAGGCTGGTCCTGAGGGGATGCGCCTCCGGTGCGTTGGCTCGTAGGAGCCGTGGTGGCCAGCCGGCAGAACCTCCCCCATCCTTTGGGCTTCAGGCCACACACTGGCTGGAGGACCGGGTGGTGCCTGGGCTGGGGAAGCTTGCCCCCAAGGTCTCTGAACACCAATCACAAGATTTTTAGACTTTCTACATGTATAGGCAGGAGAGGAAAAAAGCATCCCACTGCCGGGGCTGTATCCCACCCGCCTGTTCAAAGCTCAGATGTCTCCCATCACCTGCACCCACAGAAGAGCTGAAGTGCTCAGGGAACAGCTGCCAGGCCTTGAACTCAACATATTCCTTTATTCTGCTAAAAACATCAGCGCCATTAGCCTGTAGAGTAAATTGCCCTGGAGGTGGGCGTGCGGGGTCCCCGCGGCGCAGGAGGCACTGGGTGTCCAGAGCTGTCCTCCACCCACCAGGTGAGCTTCCCCAGGGAGAGCTGCTGAGGGGGCAGAGCCCCTTGTCCCCAGCCCCGGCAGCCGCACAAGGGCAGGAGGTGGTGGCAAGGCCGAGGCATGGCCCGACAGCGGCCCCGGTGCAGGGCACAAGCCGGGACAAGGCACAGGGGGTCAGCCTGACTGGAGAAAGGGCACTGGAGTGAGGAGGGAGTCTCCCGACCCCATGCTGGGGAGACAGCACTCATTAACCTCAGGGAAATGCACATAGGAACAGAAGTGAAAACGAAGCTGTTGAGGGAAACAGCACTAAAATGTCAGTTATTAGGAAGTTAATCCAGCTGTAAAAGTCACATTTTACATACTGATCTTCATTTAAATTGTAATTTTAATATCATACTTAGTTTCTCCTTTTTTTGTGGCACAGTCTCTGCCGGTAGCATCACCCACACAACCCCTTGCAAACTCAGGTCTACACGTCACAAGAAATTCACAGAAACCCTCAGCTACTCACCCCATCCGTACCAAAAAAAAACCAACCACAAACCCAAACCAAAAAAGACCCCAAGAAACCAAAGAACCCACCACAGAAACACAACCACCTCCAAAGGAGTTAGACAAGTTTCCCCACAAAGGATGGCGGCAGCAGACAGAGACAGAACTTGTCTATAGCTGCTGCAAAATCAACAAGAGGAAAAATAACATTGCTGGAGCTACTATAAATACTGTCTTAATTGGATATTCAAGTAACCACAAACATTTGGGACACAAGGACTTTCTCTAAAGTCCTTTGAGATTGGTGCAAGTGGTGTCCCTCAGGGGTCTGTATTGAGACCAGGACCGTTCAATATCTTCATCAATGACATAGACAGCGGGATCAAGTGTACCCTCAGCAGATTTGCAGATGACACCACGCTAAGTGGTGCGGTTGACACACCTGAGGGACAGGATGCCATCCAGAGGGACCTGGACAGGCTCGAGAAGTGGGTCCAAGTGAACCTCGTGAGGTTCAACAAGGCCAAGGGCAGGGTCTTGCTCCTGGGTCAGGGCAACCCCCGGTATCAGTACAGGCTGTGGGGGATGAAGGGATGGAGAGCTGCCCTGCTGAAGACTTGGGGGTACTGGTGGGTGAAAAGCTGGACATGAGCCAGCAATGTGCGCTCACAGCCCAGAAAGCCAACCGCATCCTGGGCTGCATCCAAAGCAGCGTGGCCAGCAGGTCAAGGGAGGGGATTCTGCCCCTATAGTCTGCTCTGGTGAGACCCCACCTGGAATACTGCGTCCAGCTCTGGAGCCCCCAGCATAAGAAGAACATGGACCTCTTGGAGCAAGTCCGGGGAGGGCCACGAAGATGATGGGAGGGCTGGAGCACCTCTGCTGTGAGGACAGGCTGAGAGAGTCGGGGTTGTTCAGCCTGGAGAAGAGAAAGCTCTGGGGAGACCTTATTGTGGCCTTTCAACACTCACAGGGGGCCTACAGGAAAAGCTGGGGACAAAATTTTAGCAGAGCCTGTTGCAATAGGACAAAGGTTAATGGTTTTAAACTAAATGAGGGAAGATTTAGACTAAATATAATTTAGACTAAATATAAGGACACAGGTGCAGGTTGCCCAGAGAGGTGGTAGATGCCCCATCCCTGGAAACGTGCCAGCTCAGGTTGAACAGGACTGTGAGCAACCTGATCTAGTTGAAGATGTCCCTGCCCATGGCAGGGGGGGGTGACTAGATGACCTTTAAAAGTCCCTTCCAACCCAAACCATTCCAATTCTCTGATTCAAAGGGAAAGATGGAGTCCACAGCCCAGTGCTGGGACTGGGAGGATGGCTCTCCAGCTGGTACATGCTGGCCCTCCGACCACCCGTCCCGTCTGCTCTACAGCGTGTCTCAGCTCACCACCACAGGGCTCAGACTTGGGGCAGGCACCACGTGCTGATCCCCAGGCAAGTGTTTACGTGAGCGCCCTTGCTGAGCGGGCTCGCTGCTTAGCAAAATTTAATGCTGGGTGAGATATCTCTCTTTCCCACACTAACCAAAATAGGGCTCTGATCAAAAATCCTGCTAGGAAGAATTCCTTATCCAGGATGATGCAGGAAGAATCAGCCCAAAAGCCTACGCTAGGAATAAATGCTTAAGTACAGCAGTAACCCAAATCCCAGGGATGCTCGGCTGTGTTATATAGTAAGATAAAAATAGCTGACTCCCCACTAATGTTAGAAGAGAAATCAAATCAAATCTTGCTGGTACAAGGAGGCCAAAAGCAACTGCAAACCACCGCACCGCGGAAGGATGTGAAAACCAAATTCTCATGAAAATGGGCTTCCCCCAGTGAGCTGCTCACCTCGCCGCCCTATCCGCTCATAAAGAGAAAGCAAAGTAGAATTTGATATAAGGCATTTATTTTCATTACGTGTTGGAAAGGGACAATTCTGTCTTAAAACAATTACAGAGATAATGCCACAATACGTACTGCATATTGCTTTACTGTTGAAACCAAAACATTGTCCAAAACAGGTGCTTGGCAAATGAAAACAAAATGAATATATTACCATTGAAATCAATGCTGTTCGATGAAAGCACCATCCTCACTGTCAGATCTGATCAGTCATGCAATTGAAGACGCCAAAGAGCAAGTATTTTTGGTTTTTACAGTAAGCCATGAACTTTCAAGGGTTTATATCATTCTATACAAATTTAAGTACAAAATGGGCATTATGTTTCAGAAATCAGTGAACCGGGCTGAAGTGAACCACAAGACACACTTGTTAACACTGTACAGCTGGATCTGAACATAGATTATCGATGAACTAGTGAAACTTAGCACATACACAAAATGGTCCCCAAGATTCAGCCATGCTTAGGTGGGGAGCGACGCTGGAGAGTGAAGGACAATATCCAACACTACTCACACCCAGAGGGACAGTTTTCTCAGAATTGTTGGGATCCCAAGGAATTGTTGTTACTCCATTTCAAGAACGACTGCGTTTTAGTATGTGGTTCTCACAAGGGTATACACAAGCTGTATTGAATACTGAATCAGAAATAAATAATAAAAGATACATCTAATACATCTTTTATTTTTAATATTTCTTTTTTTTACAGCACTGACTTTACAAGAGGATAAACAACTCATTTTCAGGGGCTGCTAACATCTGAAACAAAGAAGTCACTATTTTATACTCAACATATACTCAACCTTTTAATAACTTCATATATGTATATATGACTTTTCACACAAAAAAAATGTTAAAATAATTTATATCTAAAAACTACCGTGTAAAGAATGAAGGAGGAAATAAAATGTGGGTTTCCTTAAAAAGGATGGAAGAGGAAGACCTGATTTTCAGGAACCCCATTCACTGTTTCAGCTACTTCTGGAGTTTCAAGAGATTTCCAGGCCATCGACAAAAACTGCCCAACACATCTGGAGCTCTCCGCAAACTCATGGCACGCTGGGGAAGGTCACCTGCTAATGAGCTTTTGCGGCCCACGGGCATCTGCCAGCGTCAGCCCCAGTGGATTCAGGGTGAGAAAGGTGGAGAGAAAGAGAAAACATCTCCCCAGATCACTAATAAAAAAGGTGGAGTGAAATCCTGGCCCACGGGCAGCACGGTGGCCACTGGTTGGGATTTTACTCCCAAGCCCTACCTCTCCACACCCTCCTTCTGCATCACACATACAGGACATTTTCTTACAGTGGATTTTTTCCTTCCACAGGAAAACTGCCCCAGCAGCAGGGGTGGACCAGACCCTGACAGCCACCTGCACGCACCCAGCGAGAGCCATTCCCTCTGCTTGCTACAGATGCTGTTGTGCTTGTGTTGCTGAGGAATCACTCTAACTAATCTCCATTTATACCTGGATCCTCTCAGACTTCAACAATCTTAAATAATTTCTGCGGCCATGTAAACATGACAGAATCCAAGGAGGATCTGAAACCCATCTGATCAAAAGCTCAAATGTCGATGGCCTGGATCCACACTGAGGGAATGGGGAAAGGAAAGGTAGTGAAGATGTGGAAAGTACTTTTCTGGAGGTTACATTCCTCTGAAATAGATATTAAAGCAATAGTACAAATAAAATCAGCAATGTGATCTGCAACAGTGTGTCCGTTTATCTATGAAAAGCGAGAGGAGATTATATTAAAGGAAATATTTTAATCTACACAAAGCATTTTCACATACTCCTAATTACAAAACACACAGTTGCAACACCATAAAGTAATTGTATACTGAATACAGAAATCAATACATCTCTTACTAAAAAGGAGAGAGGCAAAGAAAATTAGTAATGCAAGTGAACTCCTGCAAGTGTGCACATGGAGAGACTGCTACAGCAAACTCAAAATAGACTCTATTCACTACAAAACCAAAATCCAAGATTTTCAACCCAGCTGTGGAAGGCAAGGCTGCAAGCTAGTGTGAAAAAGCCTGACGCACTTGTCACTGCTGCCACGCAAAAACTTGGGGAAACCAGTGTTAGTCTAAGAAGTGATACGCCTGGATTTTTTTTTTTTTATTGGATGGAAACAACAGAAGCTTTTTTCCTTTGTTTCTCTCCTTTTTGCCAGCCAATTCAAACACCCTTGGCCCCATTTATTCTGTTGCCTTTGGACTGTATCCTGCCTCTGTTAGCTATCCACTACTCCACCTGGTTGTTCCCTGGCTGGATACAGCCCGCGGTTAATCTGGAGGACATGAGGTTTTATCTTGAGCAACCCTCGTTACCTCATGAAGCTTCACGGTTGGGTTCTTAATTTGCACTCATCTATAATAAAAACAAGTTAAACTGGTGGTTTTCCATCTGAGCAACCTGCTGTGGACTTCCTCTGCACAACCATTCCCAGGGTGAGGATGGAGATCTTTAAACAGCTTTATCATTCCGACAGTCTGAATAGTATTAATATAAATAGTGCATCCTTTCTAACAACCTGCCCGCTCGATTGGCTCCTACAGCACGAAGGCTGACTAGCCAGGCATGTGGCTAACCAAAGGCAGCACAGCATCGGCCCAGTGGTAGTTTGGCGTTACACAAACCGTGGGCGCCAGCACCCAGGCTCCTACTTAGGCTGCGTTTCTGCAGTTGGTTTTCACGTACCGATCAGGATGTTCTGGTACAGCCCTGCCAAACCCAAGCATAACGCGGCACAGTCAGCTGGGGGGGAGGAGGATGGCAATGGCGTTATGTCGCAGGAGGTAATAATACCGCTCAAGTTCTCTTCAACAGGGAAAAATCTTCGCCTACCAAAGCTGATCACATAACTACAGTGGAAGCCAAAGCCCCATCTCCTCCACCACGCTGATAGAAAACCTGGAGAAATTCCAGTTAAGCTAATGGTGTTCTTGTGGATTTCTAACAGTGAAGCAGAACAGAAATAGACCCCTAAGAAGCTGACTGGTGACCATGTAATTTTAACATAATTGCTCCCATCAACACAGCAATAATAGCTATGCCTCTGAAAACACGGCAGAACCTTTTCTAACCCACGATAACAGAATTCAAACAGACATTATGGAAAATCTCCCTCAGATTGTCCGCAATTTTAAGAGCAAGGGCATCCTGGTATGGTCTAATATTACTAGACTCCTCTACTTTTACCAAAAAAAAGACAAGACTACAGAATATTAACTAACTTACTGTGAAGCTTATCTTAAATCAAAATTATCCCAAACTTATCAAACGAGGCAGCAATTCAGAAAAGCACTTTAGCACAGGCTTAATAACATACGCGTGCTCGAATGTTTTGCAATAATGTAACTGTACATCTGGATATTCCGTAATTTACAATTTTTGGCTTTTAAAAGTTGGTCTCCCAATTTGCCCCTGTGATTTAGCAACATTTTAGTATATGAGCCACAACAATAATTTCTGCAAGGAAATATAGTAGTACAGCAATTGCATGGTAATTTATGTGAAAACTCTATTGTAATGCCACATCACAACAGGTACCTGCATATCTGCACCTGGGAAATTAAAGTGATACCGATACATTTGATAAATAAAAAATAAATTACAGACTATGGGAAAAATGTCACACCAATGACCTAAACTTGTTTTCTAGTTACTGCCAAGGTCTGGAGTAGTATTTAAATATAGTATTTCTGCAAGCCTTCAGAGAATTACAAAATAAACTTCTAACAATCATTTGTAAACAAGTTTAAAACGCACAATTATATTTCAGTAGTTTATTTTGGAGAAATAAAGCAGTGCAAAATAGGCCAACCAAAATTCAGAAGGCAGCCAGGAAAATAAAATTCTTATTTGATGTTCTAACTAGGAAACAGCATACAGACATTTCCATTGGATCCAACACTCAGATTCATGTAAACATACTTCGTTTGAAAGGTCTTGAGTTACTAACCCAGTTTTAACATCATTGCTTCTTCCCCACCACCCAATATAAAAACCAAAAACCAAAAACAAAAAAAACCCCAAAACCCCAAGCCATTGTAATAAAGGGAGCAAAAGGCAAGTCTACAAACACTCCACCAGCTGGTTACAAGAAAGTACCATACAAAAATATGCACTGGCAAGTTCCTTCCTGAGGGTATCTTTTGTTACACATGTAACATAAAAACACTTTTTATTTTAAACAAACAAAAACAAACCTCAAACTGTAGGTGTCAAATTTATTTCAGTCATGGCTTTACGAAAGGTTTGGTCTATCATCAGTACTTTTCCCAGCCCTTACCTATGTACATCTGCCTCACTCACACCACGACCACCCGAGACCTGCGAGCTGCAGACAGCGTGGGATCCAGCAGCCTCCGAGCACACGCGGGCTGTGAAGCACACCCAGCTCACAACTCATCTGCGATAGTCTAGAAGTTGGCTGCATTTACGTGCTCCCTGGAATCTGACGTACGCCACACTCATAAGGTCCTTCCAGTCCCTACAGAAATACCTTTAAGGTTAGCAACCTCTCTAGAAGTGGAATAATCTCTTCTTAAAACATCCTCAAAATCCGATCACGGCTACGGGAAATTCCCAAGTATGGCATTTTGGGAACAAACCCAATCTCTCCTAAAGAAAAACTATTGTTTAGATAAAAAGAACTGCTACACAACACTCTTCAAAACTTTCTTCCCTCCAGGACTGGTACCATCAGGTAGGGTGATGCCATCTCTTACACAGTTTACTCCTCTCTCCACAGTCTACCTGGGCTTTAAGCTCTAGATCCTTTCCTTTTGAGTAGATACCTAACACACGATACTGAAACAAACTGGTATTAAATGCTGCGGTGATGGATGCTTTACAAATACCGGCTATAGAAAGACAGCAATTCCCGTATCTGCAAGCTAGGAGCTTAAGGAAGGAAATTTTCTTAACACAACCCCTCTTAAATGTATTTCAGGGTTTATATGGGGAAGGGAAGGCCACTCTGTCTACCAAAATAGTGTCTCCGTTCTCAGCGCTGACAGACTTGGATATTTCCAGTTTAGTGTTCAGAATTGGCAAAAGTTTCAGGAATTCTCAACAGCAGAAGATGCTGCCGTACTACAAGATGCAGTAGAGGGGGAACACTGTAGGTTTACTGCGTATCTCAACAGATACAATTTGGATATGCTGTAGTTTACAAATAGTATAAAGCGCTATTGTAAATGACCACATGGCCTCATCTGGCAGCTTGCAACAAAATAATATGGTCTCTAAGCTAAAGCTGTCGTGGACCTCACACAAAGGTACACAATTCTGCTTATATTGAATTTGCAAAAGAAAACCACAAAGCAGAGCAGCATGGATCTGTGGAAGGCAGCAACTGTGTTACCCCTTAGCATCCGCACATCAGGTGCTGCAAGGAAAACGCGCAGCTCTGTTTGCCAGCCTTTGCAGAGCTGTCCCAGAGTCCTCACATGAAGGGAGAATTAAATTCTCTGCTAAGAGGTGAGCTGCTTCCATCAACTCTTCTAGGATTTCACCACTAGCAGACGACTGAAAGGATGGTATTTAACCTACTAAATCACTCAACCTAACTATCGGCACCCTGTCTGCATCAAACGTGTCGCTGTTGACAAGCATGGTTAGAAGCTGCTTTTGACTGAAGCAATGAGGTCTGGGGGAAGAACTGCAAAGCCGGAACCCGGGTGGTCACCTCGGTTCTGCACCCTGAACATCCGGTCTGCTCTGTCCCACTCACAGCGCCACGGCTTCCCAGCAAGCTACCTGTCAACATCTTGACTGGTCAATGTTCCCAGGGATTTGGTTTAGTGATACTGAAAGTTGTCTTAGCTTTCTTTTGCAATGGCCTACCTGGAAAAAGGGAACAGGGAATATTTTAGGCAAAAAATCTCTAGCACTGTTACATTCAGACACTGCATTTCAACATTATTATTTTCCTGATACCATGAGGTCCGATTTTAAAATGCTGGTCACCAGTGATTACAAAGAACAAGAGAAATGAAAAAGCAACCCTCCCACAATGAAAGGACTAGTGTTAAAACCCACGTGCGTGTAAACTCACTACAGATTTGCAACTGGAATCTGATGAAATGGATCTGAATCGCTCTCTCGCCCTTCACTTTTCAGTCCGTTTCACCAGCAAATCAGGTTAAATCAAATGGAAGGTTTTTTTGTTTAATTTTGCTTTTTTGTGTTGTGTTTTGCATTGGGTTTTTGTTTTTTTTTTTTTTCCTCATTTTTCGCAATTGTATTGTTACAGCCTGATCTGGGTCTGGGACCACAAATTGTATTCCTGTGGCTTTTTCTCAGTCCATGGCATTGGGAAGTTATTGAGAAGAAGCTTTTGTTGCCAACGTAGCGACGCAGTGCTGCTGGAAGCTGGGGGACACTGCCGAGTTGCAGCCTAGTCTCTGGTGTTGAAGTTTTACTGAGCTGTTGGTCTCGCTTTCCACAATCCAGGAGGAGTCTTTTCCCATGACGCTGAGACAGCCTGTGCTAGCGCAGCATATCCGCTCGTCCATGATCCCGCTGGTCTGCTCTGCCAGGAGCTTGCTGCGGTTTAGCTGGGTCACCTCAGGTGCCTGACCCTGCAGGACAGCAGCTATGTGGTTCAGAAGATCTGTGAAAAATTCGGAAACACCCTCGTAACCTGAAAAGAGGAAAAAGGAAGGAGAGCAAAAAAGGCAATTAAGTAATTTTCATAAGATTTCCGAAAGGCTTCTTCTACCAGTTTATTTCTTGGGCTGTCTTTGCCCTCCAAGCGATAATAAAAAGGCTTCTTTTCCATGACATCATTTTGAGTGACTGCACGAGCAGAGTAGCGTAAAGAGGGACAGAGACCATTGCTACAGAAACACTTTTGTTCAACAAGAAAAACTGTCACCTTTCCGATTTTCTGGGTTTTTTTCCTCCCAAGTATGTATGTGTACACATAATTTTAGGTATATTCTATCATTTGCTGCCAAGTCCAGGTTTTTCCTTAAGTTACAAGCTCTATGGTATAACACCGATCTTTTCCATCCTGTTTCCATGTTTACTACGGAAAGTAGCTCTAATGCAGTTTCCTTGAGGGTCTGAACCAACAATTTGCGCAGCAACACCCTCAATTAGGGAAACCTCAGAGGCCAGCGGGGCTGGCTTTCTACCCTACAGAAAAGGCACCTTCCAACTGTGTAAGAAGCAGTGCGATGCTCGTCTAATCTAACCTAGCTTGGCACTTAAAACGCGTTCCCTGCTACGAGCAATGTCTGAAAAAAACCTCGAGGGACAGTAAGCATACATCAATGATACAGTATTTGGTAGAAACATCAGTCTTCTATTTCAGTACTGAAACCACCTTTCTGCGTGTTCTGTTAATCAGTTGCAGACAATTTACAATGCAGCGTTTAACAACAAGCTTCCTGGTTAAAACAGTTGCTCAAATACCAGGAGACACGACGGTTTTGGGGACACAAAGGGTGGCAGTAGGTTTACAGAGCTTCTGGCTCTATTTTAAAGACTCAGGTACAGGTATGGTTTTCTCATTGCATTTATTTTAAAATTGAACCAGACACGCAACATACTGGTACAATGTATTGAAATGGATCTTCACTGCTACTGCATTACCTAAAACTGTTATCAATTTGATTTAGTATTTAGAGGTGAAATATGACATTCAGTGTATTTAATGGGCTAGGCTGATTGTTTTAAAATGTCTATAAAGTATTCTGAAGGTGACCTGGTATTAATACAGGAGATTGAAGCAATAAATAAAAGTTTAAAAGTCCCACGTGAACAACAGACATTCACACAGCAGCACATGAGCAGAACCAGAGACCACAAAGTAAATGCACATTTTAAAACACTTTTAGAGAAGTGATCACAGGGCTGTAGAGTCCCTTAGATCCATAAATAATTCAATTTTAATCTCCATTCTCCTCTAAAGACCAACTTCCTTCGGCAATAAAAACCCAACTTCCTGAAAAACATACGGTAAGAGGATAATTTCACCTTCAGATAAATGTGGTGATCGGTGCATTTATAACCCATACGTTAACCAAATAACTCTTATTTACGATTCTACATCTACATTTGGATTTTACTGCACTCTGTCACAATTCTCCTAGGTACTTAACAGGTCACACAAAACAGGTGAGACACCAGCTCCCAGTTTTCTGTTCTCAAAGGGCCCTTAAACAAATTCACCAAACAAATCGGCTATTTCAAAACATCAAGTTTCCCAGTGACCCACACGATAATCCATCGCTCTGCAGGGGGCAACTGGGACTCTCACAGCTGGTCATGGGAGCCAGAACAAGATCCCCACCTCTTTGACAGAGGTGCTTGTTACACTTTCTTGCTTATGTAAAAGCCACGGGATTAGCCTTCAAATCTACTCAGAGTGCTTCAAACACCCCGGGAATAAGCTATCGCCATAGTAACAGCTTTAATATTCAGAGAGGAGATCCATAGTACCCTAGAGTGTTTCGTGTCTGCTCACTGAAAACAAACCACCCTTGTTTGAGGGCACCTGGCAAACTCACAAAGAAGTTGCTTTAAATATTTAACGGGAATAAGACGGCCAGTTTTTCAGACCTGAAATCAGCAGATGTTACAACGTAAGGAAGCTGTACGCATCAGGCAGGCTTCTTCTGCGCAAGCTCTCAGCACACTGCGTGGAAGGGCCCAAATAATTCTGCCTGGTCACTCAGAAGAAACTTCAGACACGTGTGAAAAAGAAATACAAGGAAGGGAGGAAGAGAACCAGCGTATCTTAACTCTTGAGCCACGGGATGCCCGGGGAAGGCTGCAACCTCTGTAGATATTGCCTCATTCTGTTCACTGGCTGCTGCTGCAGACCTCTCAAAAAAGGCAATTGTGGGACATCACCGTGCTGTGATGACAAGGAAATTAAGAAGAGCAGATTAAATGACACCTTTAGAAACTACTGGCAATGAATTTGGGATTCATGTCACACAAGGAATCAGTGGGAGGATACAAGTTTTGCATGCTTCAAAGCACAAGCTGTGTGAATCGTGCTCCAGCGGGTACTTTCCTAGCACTGCCCACTGAAACCATTCTGGAAACACCTGTCTGCAAGAGGCCTGGGTTTTGCTATGTTGAAAACAGTCTCCAAAGTCCTCTGGCTGAGCATAGATAGGAAAGAAGTACACCCAGCACTGCATCGGAAAACACGTACCTGCTCTCCTGAGCTTTGCAGAGTCAAGAAATGCCTATGAGCATTTTTAAGGTTGCATTAGAGACGCTACGAGCCTGATTTTTAGGAGACCCTCCCTGATATGGCACACTCTCTGCTCTACTGCATTTTCCCTCAGGCAGAGAGAAATGGTTGGCCCGCGTCCTGCATTTGCGGCGGCATATTCACAACAACAAAGCGCACATCGAGATCCGATGCTTCCAGCTGCCACGTCTCTGCACACCCAACCAGCAGTTCACCTGTACGGGCTGCAGAACGTGCGCACAAGCTGCTGCTCGGACGGGGTGAGCTCAGCCATGGCCAGGGGACAGCAGCCTCTGCGGAGCCTTTTCTCTCAGTTACCCTGAGGTCAGACAAACATAAACCCCACACGCTACGTGACTGCGCCTACAGTTAAATATCTCAGCTGGTAACCACAGCTAAATATAGTCCTGGTGGTTTCCCATAGAAAAGGAGGCACAATAGGCCTTTTAGACATTTATCTTTAAAATCTTTTTGAAGAGTTGCTGGTGCTAATGGAGCAGATAACAGACAAAGTCCTCCTATAGGTACATCTGCTCTCAATTCTCACGGTAAACTAATCTCAGGATGACAACCATGGAGTGGCAGGTTCAGATGAGCTTCAAGCCTGGTAAACACAAAAGACGGCAAAAGCCAAACCTCTGGGCCATTGGCAAGGCTTTGGTCAGGCCTGGCCCCAAGCCATAGCTTGAGCTCCATGAAAGAGGCTGTGAATACTCCTTAAAGGTCACCTCTTCCCCTCCCTTCCCCAAAGTAGTGGTGCAGAAATAATGTAGCAGGTTCCCAGAGTGTCTAACTTGGCTCCAGTTTGGCTCTACCACAACCCTTGCATGACAGGATGACTTGAGGAAGAGAAGGAAGGAGAAGCCCCTTCCTGGGACCTCGCTGAGACAGGAACAGTGAGATCCCACTGCTGATACAGTCCATCTGCTGCTATCCTCTAGACTATCTCCAACTGGTCTTCAACCTATCCCATGGCGATAAAGCTAGTAGCTACCTTCACTACCAACATGTTCACCACCAAAAAAATCCTGTGTGAGATACAATGTAGACCTGAGCACAAGAAGCTTCCCCACGCTCTCAAGTCTCTTGCAAGGACTGAAACACTCTATTAATTCAATGTCTCTTCAAAGACCAATTACTGTGCAGACTGAAACACAGGACTTGGGCTGAATATCAAAACCTACTGTCTTAGGGTAGAAGTACAGCAGAGCATGATGCTGGATGCAGTTCTGCAAACTTTTGCCACAACAAGAAGACGTTTCTCCTCTTTAAATAGTTAAGTTTGCCACTAGTTGTTCCCCAAACTGGACTTTTCAGCATTTCAAGAAAAAGGGAATTTCAGTTTGTGCAAAGTATCAAATCCAAAACAATGCTTGAAAAAACAAAAACACCAAAACACCAAACCAAAACACAGGAGGCAGGATTGCAAAAGAATGTCCTGTATCACTGACTTCAAGACCCACTGTTTGAAATATAATCCCATTCATGAAGTTGATTTGGCTCCATGTGACACCCAGTGTAGGTTGTTTCACCGCTCTTGGCAGAAGACTGTTTTCATGGGTCTGCAGATTTCATCAACACCATATGGCAGAACCGAGCTGCAAAGTGACCTGAGAAGAGCAGGGCTGGAGTTTTAAAAGGAATCCAGTCACTGTGGAGATAGACAGGCAGGGCAGTACAGGGCAGCAGTGGGATTGAGGACCTGGATTGAAAGATTAAGACGGCTGGGGGCTCTGGGCAAGATCTCTAGATGTGAAAATATTGCAGCCATACTGAAAACTCAAAGTCTTCAACAACAGATTAAACAAACTCTAACAGCCTGTGCATGTCTCTGGAAATAAACATCACTATTAAGGCAATGAGAGGAGATTCTCAAAGCGAAAAACCCCATGCAAAACAGCATGAAATTAGATGATGTGTTCTTTTCCTGTGTTAGGCTACTGAGTTTAGTACAAATGACAGACCATTATCGCCTCCCACTATCATAGAATCAGGTTGGAAGGGACCTTAAAGGTTATCTAGTTCCACCCCCTGCCACGGGCAGGAACACCTCCCACCAGACCAGGTTGCTCCAAGCCCCGTCCAACCTGGCCTTGAACACCTCCAGGGATGGGGCCTTCACAGCTTCTCTGGGCAACCTGGGCCACTGTCTCACCACCCTCAGAGTGAAAAATTTCTTCCTGATATCTAATCTAAATTTCCCCTCTTGTACACACTTACAACTCCTTTTAACAATTCCAGTGGTCAAGGAGCTTGTTTAGTTGTTTCCAAGATATATGTTGCACTAAAAAAGGTGGAGGACAAATTTACCCGTTTTCATATGCTCTATTCTATCATTCTACTTCAGGATCCACTTACAAGAACATGCAAGGATATTTAACCCTTTAGAGCACCTAGAATTTTAACATCATCTTCAGATTCCTCGTGTTGTTGCTGTTGTGGACAAAATGTCTTTTCATGGGGAATAAATTTGCACAGGAAGAGATTTTCAAGGGAACAGTTTGCTGCTTCCACTCCCTCAACACTTTTAATTGCACAGAGTCTGGAAAAAAAAGAAATCGTAAAAGGCTCCCCTAAAATAGAATTTATTATTATTCTTTTCTTCTTCAGAATGAGGGACAGGCCTAGAAAGGCCAGGTCCCAGCACACAGTCCCATGCTTCAGTTCCCGGGCATCCCTCTGCAAGGAACGGCACGACAGCCATGCTACAGCTGGCCACTAAAATTTGACCATATCTGCTAAGAGCTAGTATTTCAGTAGCACATTCCATATCTGGATTAGGGTTCTGCCCTTCCCCGACTAAACAGTATCCGATCTCAGAACAATTCGGCTGCTGCTCTCCTGTCCCCCACCTGGGAAGCAATGAGGTGAGACACCCGCAGTAAAACTTCACACTAAGCGTGCACTGCACGGCTTCCACACAGCATGAGCAGAAAGGCCTTTCTCACCTGGGAATGCATTTATATCAATGACTGCATGCTGGCCGGTCTGATTGTTAATGATGATATCAATTCCAAAAAGGGAAACTCCCAGAGCTTGCCGCAGCGCCTTAGAGATTTCCCGGATGACGTCGTCATTTGGCCGCTCATACACTCCTTCGATTTTATCCAGCTATAGTGGAAAAAGACACATTACTAAGGGACTCCAAAACAGTCTTTTTAGTGGAAAGATTAATTTTCAGAAGGTTCCAGGGGCATGTCCACCAAATCTAATTGCAGAGAATCGGTGGCATGAAACAGAGAAAGACACCAAAGAGAAACTGCTTTCGTAATTCAGAATCCTAACTAAATTGGAAGTTCACCTGCTCTAAAGCACCTAGTTCTTCCTCTTCATACTGGTGCAGCTCCTCGAGAGACACAGTAGTATAGGAATGAATGGAGCATGAGACTCACTGTTTTAAGTACGAGATCTATACCTTAAAAAAACAAATACAGCTGCTGCGTCTAACTCTGTGCTGCAAACATTCTGGATATCATTCTGCCATTTCAATGGCCCATGTGAAAGGACTGATAAGCCAGACTCCTGCTGGTAGTTTCATTTGAGCCACACAACACAACTCAGCTGACATCTTCAGGGCAGAGGCTAATTCCAAGGGGATATCTTTTATGTGGGTTTTCATGTATAAGCTAGTCTACATTTATCAGGACAAAAAACTCAGGTTATTTATGTTTTTTTTTTACTTTCTAAACAACAGGTTACGCAGCAGAAGTATGCTGTTATGCCTACAGGAGTTGTGTACGGAACATGTATGTGTATGAGAGAGATGGCAGGTAAACCACAAGAGCATATACTCTCTCTAAATTTGAAAGTAAATATAGTCACAAAGAGATTTATGACTAGCACAATTACAGCTCTAATATTTAGCATGCCCATCAGTGTTGCACACAAATTTAATCATTGCTGACTATGAAACTTCTCCCCAATAAAGCTTGTGAAACAGAAAAGAATCTGGAGACTCAAGAGATTGAAAGGACCCAGTCCTGTAAAGTGACTTTCACAGCAGCTGAGTGCCTGAGAACTTCTTTGTTTTTATGCACTCAAAGCTTATTAAAAGGACTGGTAATGCAAGCATGAAACGGTGCACTGTGCTGGCACTGCTGGACTCAGGATACACCCAGAAATGGTCCCATGGTCACGGCTCGGGTGTGCTGGCGGCACAGCCAGCTGTTTGCCCTCTGCAGCCCTGCCCAACGTAATTTCTCTGCTTGAATTTTCACCGTTTGTCTTTCCTCACAGAACTGAGTCCTAGAAGGATGATTGTGCTTATGAAGCTCTCTGGACAGGAAAAGGCCAGGTATTTGCATTCAGAACCTCATTCTTCCCTTGGCCTAGATTAGCTCTGGGGCGTTTAGGGCTGGCAAGCAGCACAGGCTTGCTGCATCAGTGCTTCCTCACCGGAGCTCGGTAAGGAAAACCAGAGGGACACACAGTCATGCTGGTTCGTTGTACCAAACAGACCTCAGCCTGCAACACAGAAGCAGACAACTTGTGAAGAGAGTCACTAGCTACTAGCACTTCGATAAGAAAGGACTAGATAGTTTTCCAGCCACACTAAAGGAAAAAAGACCAAATGTACTTACTGCTGTTAAGACAGATGAGGATTCCGGCTTTGAAACATTGTGGCTGTTGAAAAATATGGATTCTCTGTCTGGAATGAAAAGCAGGTTGTAAAAAACTTTACACCAGATTTTAATTGGCAAAGGACTAGTGCAAGGAACAGTAGATGGCACTGCAGTCCCTGGAATCTAGTCTCGCTCCCTCCCGGGCAGTCCCCCGCCACCATCCCCTCTCTCCTGCATGGCACCTATGACTGGGTCACCCACGGTTTTTGGACCTCAGACAACAGATAAACAGACCTGCATGAGGTGAATAGAAACCCATTTCCTTTCCTTCACCAGAGCCAATTAACTAAGTTCAGTAAGACAATGAAGTTAATTTCTACTGATTTGCCATACTCAAAGTGACAGTTCCAGTGGGAAGGCATGTGATAGATGGAGGAGCTCCATTCCCCGCAGGCAGCAGATCAACAGCACCCAAGGTGCACTGAGATCCCTGTGAACCTGGGGAGGGCACTGTCACCATGGAGGAAAGCAGTACATTTAATGGTCAGGACCTACCCTCCCTTTGGAGGCACCACAGGAATGCAGGAGACACCCTGAGGTGACAGAAGCCACTCACATACGACAGTGGAAACCATGAGGAGACTTGTACCAGCACCTCCCGCCCTGCTCCCTTGATGCTGAAGGTTTTACTGGTGGGGAGAAATCCACCACAACAAGTCTCCCCTTGAGATTCCCACCACAGCAGAGTGATGGCATTGTACAGACAACCCGCCTGGGAACACCCAGACCAGTCTCAGCAGGCAGGTAGCACCAGCAATAGGGTATTTCTGCTCTGCTGGTGTCTCTGAGTGGACACTGAAGAGGAGCCACAGGGCCACATATGATAAAGATGGGAGAGCTGTGAAAAGCAAACCCAAATCCGCTCCTCAGTCTGACCCCACCAAATAGCAGCCTTCCGGTAACTGAAGGGGGCCTACAAGAAAGCTGGAGAGGGACTTTTTGCAAGGGCATGTAGTGACAGGACAAGGGGTAATGGCTTCAAACTGGAAGAGGGTAGATTTAGACTGGATATTAGGAAGAAATTTTTCACTCTGAGGGTGGTAAGACACTGGCCCAGATTGCCCAGGGAAGCTGTGGCTGCCCCATCCCTGGAGGTGTTCAAGGCCAGGCTGGATGGGGCTTTGAGCAACCTGGTCTGGTGGGAGGTGTCCCTGCCCATGGCAGGGGGGTTGGGACTCGATGACTTTCAAGGTCCCTTCCAACCTAAACCATTCTATGACATACTCTTCTTGCCTTTCCTCCCAGTTAGAAAGTCCCTGTACTTTCAGGCAGTCAGCTCCTGGAGTGCCTCACAGCTGCCAGATCTGCTTAATCATCAGATCTGCCTTGTCAGGTGCCTGCAGCATGGCCCCCTCCAACTCTCCCCATGAGGGTGAGAAAGCCAGACACTCATCCTAATCTGCCCACAAAACTTATTTTTATGCAGGCTTCCAGACAACTTTCAAGTCTTACACCAACAGATGAGACACTAGCTGAGGCATTTTTAGAAAGGTGCCTTAAAAAGTTCTCTTCCAACTAAAGTACAGACCAACTGTGCCAATAGTTTATGCGAAAACAGGTTCTGGCCTACTTAATTTGGCCAGGACATAGAGCCAACCTAAATGTAAATACGGGCATACACACCTACAGACAAGGACTTTTACCAGGATCCTACTATACATGTACTAACAAAATATATATTTGTGTGTAGAACCTGATGATAAGCACACGTGGACATACTAAGATCAGCAGAAACCACTAAGAAAAGCAACAAGAAACTGACACTTGTTAATTCACCTCCCTTAATTTGATACCTTCTCCCCTCGCGTCCCCACCTCCCAGACTTGTCCAGCTGCAGGCAGATGATGCTCCCACCCACACCCTGCTAATTCCTTCTTGCTTCTGAAGGCCCACAGAATGCAGTTCTCGGGAAAACAGCTTTTGTTCCATAAAGGCAATTTTAGTAATCTTTAATGAAAACCCTCCAAGTGGTGCTGTCTAGTGACATATAGGGAGGATTACTGTCCTCACGGACAAATCCATTCCTCCCTCCCCACAACACAGCTGGTGTCTACAAACCAAAGAACACTTCCCACCAAGGTTTACAACACTGGGCCTCACATGAACAGACAGGCTCATTTAGCACAAGTGATCTTTAATTTAAACACACATACATAATCGAGGTAAAAATAGGGAGAGGAAGTTCTGAAATGATGGAATCCAGGAAATTCTCTCCAAAGCACATTTATAAACAAAGGCAGGAACAAATGACATATGAACTTACTGTGAAATAAGAGAATTTCTCTCCCTCTCCCCCTCTCCACATGACATAAACCACTGTTTCTAACAGGTAAGACTCAAGTTACTGTTGCATAAATATTTACTGTATGAATGTCATTCGTATGTATTCCAGAGTAGATGAGTTATCTCCCTTCCTACTGAAATAATACAGCAGAGGAAACATGGTATGTAAGAACCATCTGCCTTCACTTCAGCAGCCCTTTCAAATATATTTTTCTTTTGAGTTGTTTGCTGCCAAGGCTCCAAGAATTGACATTTCCTTTTAAATTGGCACAACGTACCTGAGATTCCCGCAGAGAAGTTCTTTAAAGATGGTCTTTTCACCACTGTGTAGGATTCCCCGACCACGAAGACTTTATACAGCACAGCATTGTGATTGATGAAGCTCTGAATGACGCAAGGGGGGCGGACAGCTTTCAGGCCCTCCTGGTTGAAGATGATCGCCATCTGGAAACACGCACACACAGTTGTGCACAAGTCTTTCGGTAATTTCAGTTACCCACCACCTGACTAGCAGTGAGGGGGAACATCTTCTGGTGGATATATATTGACCACAAGTTAATTCCTTCTCAGGAACAGTCCTATTTCATTAGATTTCACTTCATTGACACACAACTCTCCAAACACTACTGGCAGTGCAGCTTTGATTTTTAATCAACACGTTCTCAGCTCTTTGCAATTTCATTTACGGCTTTTAGTTGGGAAGCTACTGCAACTGCAGGTAAAACCAAAGGGTAGAACATTTGACCGACACAAATGACAAAGTCTGTATTGAATACAAGCGCATGTATCATCAGAACAACAGAAGGAACATCTCTATGCACTAACTAGAAGAGTTCTTCCCCACAGCTCTGTTTCCCGTGGTTTGGTTCAGCGCAGTTGCTATGGTCTAAGAACCAGGGTTTCACCCACATCATCAGAGAACTTTTTTCAGACTTCAGTAGTTCTTACTGCTAGCAAATGCTGGCCTAACGATTTTCTGGGCTTGGTTTCACCCCATTACGCCAAATGGATAGTCCTCTTGAAGGGACTGGAACAAATATGCCAAAAACAAAGGCATTTATAGGGCCTGAATGATGAACAACAGCTGCCTCAAACAGCATGGAAGGAAGGGGTGATGGTAGGTGTAGAGAAGTACTTTGATGCGCCAGTATATATTCATAACATGCTACACTGCTCTTTCCATCGATCCCTCCGTTACCACGCTTACATGCATGTACAATTATCATAACCGTGGTGCCCCATTTTGCAGATTTATTGTTGGAGTATGGATGCTGCCATGGCTCCCATGCAGAACTGGCAGCAAGCACCATTCTGACACAGGTGATGAAATTACTTTACACCAGTGTGCTCCTACACAGCAGTGAGGATAAACTTAGGTTTGCTCTCCATCCTCAAAGCCGTGAAAAAGCTATGCTCTACTTATCTGAATATTGACCTGTCTTCATTACTCCAATGATGTTGGGTCTTGTTATACACAGTGCAGAAGCGCTTGTTCAGAACCTGACATACATTTTATCTTCCTTTCCTCTGGGAAAAACTCCCTGCCACAGGTAGGGATGCTTTGCTTAGAGCACCTTCCCCCTCAGAAGAGCCATGAAGACAACAGCTAACCATCCAAGACGTGACCCTCCCGCCTACCTCAATCAGTGCAGGATGCGCAACACTTGCCAGAAAAGTTCCTAAGCTCTGAAACACAAGTTTTTTCTTATGCCTGTTAATATTTTCTCACTGGTCTGCTTGGGCCTAATGTTTTACTCGGGATGCAAGACAGTCTGGAGAGGCTAAGAGAATTCCTGTGGGTCCACAGTGATATACAGAATAAAACTAGAGCTTCCTGCCTCAGCATGGTGCAGATGAGTTCTACTGCTTGCTCGCTCTTTCCATTTGCCTCCTATTGGTTTTTATTGCCTTCTGAGATTAGCTGTATCTTAGTGAAGTCAGGGTCACTGGAAGGATTTTACAAAGGAACTTTACCCCTTTGTGCTCTCTCTTATGTATTACATACGATCAGCTGCTCATTTGATGTACACTGTCATTTCAGACTGAATTTTTGCTAACACCTTAGTTTGTTCCTGTAATAAAAATAGTAAATATGTTTTGTTGTTCAAAAACATAGTCATGGTAAATGATGTACTGATTACATATTCATAGTTCAAAGTTTGAGCACATTTTTGCCTTTATTCCTCTTTATCTGGTACACCACATTAGATCACATAATTGTCTGCATGCATGCACAATGACTCACTAGATTAACATTTTCTGAGTTCAAATCAATGTGTGTATTCAATATCTACTTGCAGGTCATACTCTTCCTGTGTCTCTATTATACCAGATGCTATCTATCCAACAGTACGGAGTGATTTTGTGATTGGTAACGACCTGTGCAAGAAACCTACTCTAACCAGCGGAATCATCCATCAAGATGATTCACAGCAGCAACATCATACCTCATTTATCTCTCACTGGTGGCAAGAAACACTGCTCCCTTCTTCCTCCTGTGGAGGCTGTTGACATTATAGTATCTACAACAACATACTGGCAAAAACTGTGCTGTTCCTACAGTGTTCTCTTCAAATATCAGTTAATTAAGCCCCACAAACCACTCCTTCATAAGATGAGCAGGGACCTATCATCCTATTTTAGAAGTGTGGAAACCCAGAGACTTCATCTTCTCGGCACCAACCGACCCAGGCTACTGGAAAACATGTGAAACTTCTCTTCTGCAAAGCTCTGTGCCAACAGCCCCATGGACTAGCACACAACCATGTAACTCCCATGGCGTTGTGTTATGCTGGCTCACTGCGATGTCTTACGGTTTTTAGCACGCATGAATACAGCTCCAAGAATTCGCACGCAGGGTGCACTTGCTCTTTGTCATCTAGCACTGACCTGCTGTGTCTGGCAGTAACATGGGAACAATAGTTTATATCATAATTTCCAAATAGCATTTCTTATTATACATGCAGAGCTCTTTTGAAGGCAAAACAAAACATTTGGCACCAAGAATTTTTACTGACAATGTCCTTAAGGAATTCAGTCTCACAAAACGGCGTGATTCTCTGCCTTTTCATTCCTGTCTGCTCAACACTTAGAGAAAGTCATTCTGGACACATTTCTTCTCTTCAGGTTATGGGTCCCAGTGATGTCTCACGGCAAGTTTATCAAAGGTCAGTTATGTTCTGACCTGCTGGCAGCTGGGAAGGGCAACCTTCAGGCACCATCTCTATTCAAGTTTAACAAACAGTGCTGGCAAAGTGGGGTTCAAGTGCTGAGCTGGCTAACGTGACTTGTAGTGCAGAGGTCACGTAGAACTGTGGGACACCACAAGAAGACTAACTAACAGGACTTTGGCTTAACTAGCTCGTTTTTTCACAGCAAAATGCAGAGCCTGCCCACCTTGGCTAGCACCAAACCCAAGCTCAAGCCTGCACCTTCAGCTGTCCCTGTTAGCCAGTACTTGAACTTTCTGAATACTCATCTTACGAAGAAAAGCAGATTTCTGGTCAGGCCTATTTCCAGTGTTAGCTCTGCAGTTGGAATATCTCTACAGAAGATGAAGCAATTTACCGAAAGCCGAAGAAGGAGTCGTTAATAAAACAGGCAATAATTTCTTGCTTCTAGACCTATGCTCCATCTTTTAGACAAACTGTACTGTAAGCGGACTATTTATTCTACGGTTCCCTTGCCATTATTGACCATAAAATAGCAATTACAAGACAGTTCCTCTCTGATCATAAATGCACTTTGGGATGATTCCTGAGAACTCAGCAACTCCAAAAGTGACTACTACTACTAACTATTTAAAGTACCATGCAAGACTTTAGGCTTTTTTCCAGGGGTCCTCCTAGGCTCTAGTCATAAGTTGCTGTGATAAAGTGCAGCCTACCACTGTATTTTAGTCTAATTTTTGCTCAGAAAATGGAATTCTGGCAGGAGGCTGAGGTATGTCTGCACTGTATGAAAGAACAGCGAAGAAAGATTCAGCAGGGAAATGAAGTCCAAGCCTGACTGGACAAGCACTGAAAGGTCCATGCATTTCAAGCTGCAGTTGCAGAGAAACCTTCTACAGAAAAACCAACAAGGAAGCTGGAGTCTTAAATTAATTCACAACCCAGTCTCCGTGTTCTCAGGAATGACAGCAAAAATTTATAGCGGCTGCTCCGACAAACTAGCAGGACTGTCTGTCATGCCTGTAAAATGATCCAAGCTAAGGCCTGCATGAAAAACCTAGCTGCATTTTTGAAAGGAAGTACTGGTCACTCAAGATTTCAGCTGTAGGCGTTCTGCTCTTCTAGATTTACATTTTACTTCAGGGCCTTCACCTCTCAGAGACACTGCCGCAACATACTGCCTGTTTCAGGAGCAGCTGGGAAACCTGGACTGATGACCACGTTGTTAACAAAGGAAGCCAAGCGTTACAAGAGCCAGCAGCGAGGGCTGGATTCTCAAAACTGAGCGGCGGTGAGCAGGAAGGCAGGAAGCACAAATGGAAAAGAATTAAAACAGGACTCAGCTTGCCTAAATTTAGAGGAAGCCAGGCTCATAGGGAACGCGCTCCTTCCAGGAATACACAACCATTTTACCTGCAATTGCCTTACGGGAAGGAGGGAAAGCAAACAGTTCCACCAGCCCTGTTCTTCCCACAGCTCCAGCTGTGTTATTACAACTGAACATGCCTAGAAACGGTCTCTGTTTGCTATTCCCTTCCCCTGAAGGAGAGGAACCAGCTGACCTTCACTCATACTTCTCCTTCATCTGCAGCACAAAACCTTTTCTCATCTGCACTGCATACATGCTGGAAGAGAAACATGGTGGGGTGGAAACATCACTTAGTGTGACCTCCCACCAAAAGAGAAGCTGAAGGAGATTCCCTGCAGACAGAGCTGACTGGAGGCCACAAACTGCTAGAAGTAACTAGATGACAGACATTAGAAACTGCTAGAAAGAAGCAAGAGGTTAAAGTCATATTTAACTTCATTTCAGATAAACCTAAGAAAATAATGGTGCAATTAAACACAAGGGACAGGCAGGGAAGGGGAATTGTTTGGACATAGCCGTCGTTCTGCCTACTACAGGACTGGAAAGCACCAGCCGAACCACTGTGGGGGGACTGGAAGCAGGGGGATAACACTGCAAAAGTTTTTAAACTCACCTCATGAGAGTTGGTTCCATGGGCCACTCTGGTTTTACAAACTGGGTAAAGAAAAAAGAAAAAAAAAACAATGCACCACTGAAACAGGACACATGAACCCCTTATAAATCCCCTCCTACCCACACATGCAAACACTGGAGTTCGCCAGACCAAGGCACTGACTGTACCAGATGCCAGTGACGGTCTCTGCTTGAACAGTGCCCTCAATCACTGCAAAGCTTGGCTTGCTCCAAGCCCTACTCTCCCAACTCCTCCCTGTAACTAAGGTGCAAGCAGAGGTCATTATTAGGACTGGACAGAGATGCAAACCATCTGTGAAGAAGTCAGTACCAGTACTGGTATTGCCATCCTGCCTACTCAGAGGGCATCGTCACAAGCATGTGATTTTGCCTGAGGCTGGAGCTATGTTACAGGTACCACAAAATAACACTGTCCTGAAAACAATGGAACTGGGACACAGTGGAAACACACTTCTTTTCCTACCTCCCTGGTTTTGGGGACGAGGAGGAAACCAAATGGGCTGAACCAAACTAAGACACAACATGTTTTTGCAGGCACCCATAGAGGGGGACAAAAAAACTTAGAAAGAGCCCAGCAGTTCTTTCTTCTTCATACTCCTTATCTGCTGTGTATATTCTGGTTCTCACCTCCATCCTAAAACCAGTAAGAGGAAAGAAACAACATGCTCCTGCTATTATGAAACCAGAGAACAGCTGAAGACCCTGGGACCCACACAATGACTAGAATTCATGTTATTTATGTTAAGCTGAGGAGACAAAAACTTGGAAATAGTGAGGGGGTGGACAGGACGAGACTTCTTTGGGGGTTGCTGGAAGAGTCAAGAGGACAGGCAGCTATGAACGGCAGATGACCTGCACCAAAGTCCAAAACAAGTTGGTTCCTTGAAATTTTGGAAAGTAGTATATGATGTCTTGCAGACACATGCTCTAGAGAGCAGGATCATTTTTAAAAAACAAAAAAAGACACGAGACAGAAAAAGCACTTCCACAATACCATGGTATATTGATTTTCAATGTTATTTTTTAATTTCATCCTCATTTAGAGGGGTTGATTCAGGCCTTCTGAGCACTAGCCGGCCTGTATCGAGAAGACAATGTGCATGGGTGAGGAAGCGAGGGCTTAAAGCCCCCATTCAGTGGGCTTTAAATCACTGCTTCACAATCTAGCTTCAGGAGACCTGCCTCATTTGGGACAGCAATAGCAGGGAGGGAAAAACATGTTTTTTCCACATGACTTTACCTCTGAACTTAGTAAATGAGGCAAGCACCAAGGGAACAAACACTGACTAAGCAATTCTGCTCACTTTATACTACAAGGAATCAAATAAAGGAATGAATTAAAGCACAAGCCCCCCAAAGAAACTTGCTACAAAGCACAAACAGTTCATAGCAGCTGTTTGAGGCTGTTGGCCCTTGCAGCCTGCTATCCACGGTAATTTTTAAACTATTTCTTCTACCCTCTAAGATTATCTTTGTAGCCTGGACCAGGTAAAGGAAGGGACGGGTGGAAAAAGGGGGCAGTCAGCAAGGCAGTGATTTTCTCAAGAAAAACAATGAATGCAGCTGGCAGGAGAAACTTCTTGCACAAGTTCAGGGCAAGAGGCTAACTTTGTTAGAACTGTTAGCGTTTCTCAGGAACGTATGTTTACTGTAGCGAGGTGTTTAAAATAAGGAACACGAATAAAAGGCAAAGTAAAAGCAGACAGGGACGGGTTTTGTTCCACATTCCAAGCAGACTGCTTCAGAGCATTTGTTTCAGGAAGGTTTTAACATCCCTGGTGCTTTGGCAACGAAACCCACACTCCTACAGTGTTGGCTGCGTCTTGGGGGGTGCATGTGCAATATTCATAACCGACTAGAAGCACCAAGGAAAAACCCATGTACATACTGAAAGGGAATGCCAGTCCGTTCTTCTCTATAAGCTGCAAGGTATCTTCTCCACAGGCACTTGTCAGCTCCATGAAGGGTGGTGAACAGATCCTCTCATCTGCAAGAGACAGAAAAAAAAAAAAAAAGATTCAAATGTAGATGAGGGGTTTAGCTTCTCAGCTGCACCATTACCAGCTCTCTCCACACCAACTGCTTCTTGATTGTCAGCTTTACTTTAACAGTTGATATTAAAGCACTGGAAAAATTATCAGCCAGGCCTGAATTTGGGGTTCTAGAAACGTTTCAGAAGATGAAAGTCCCAATTTTCAGACAATCTAAATGGAAATATAAAGCCTGTATTTTCACAGTTAGGCAGCAAAAACGAGGACCTGCTGAGGAATATGTAGCTGCACAAGACTTAGCCAGTGAGGTGGAAAGCAATTGGGATCGTAACTCTTAACATTATGCCTTCAAGCATAATTTTTCTAAAGCATTTAAAAAAAAAACTGAATGGTCAGCAAGTGTGGCTGGAGTAGGCAGTCTCACAAAGCCATCATTACTGTAGGGCCCTCAGGTGGCAGATTCCAGTGTGGATTTACTTCAGCCAAGGTGCCAGCCAGGTAATACATCTCCCACTGTCCACTGGGACCTCTCTGCCATGAAAGCAGTGTCCATTTGGTCTGGTAAAACCAGTCAGAGCATCAGTGAGACACCCTGGCAAGACTCCTCTGTGGACTTTTGTTAAAGAGAAAAAACATGGGAAACCACAGTAAAATTTAGTAGAGTAAGTCTGCTCCAGGGTGTTTCTGCTGATGTTCTGCTTGTTCACATGGGGTTGTGGGAAGGCTGGAGTCAAACCCCAGCCCTCTTAGTGACTCAGTAGGTTGAACCGCTTTAGGATTCATGTTCTGTTCACTGTAGGAGAACTTTCACACAGATCATACACAATGGTCAGGATTGGAAGGGACCTCTGGAGGTCACCTAGTCCAACCCTGAACTTTCATTCCTCCAGGAATGCAGCAGGAAAGGGGGAAAGCACTGTAGGACTTGAAGTACTTGAGCATAAACCTCTACTGCTCAAGAGGGCTGGGCTGCAATTTCAAGTGCAAAGAGAACCCTGGCTTCAGCCATGGCGCTGGGACAGGACAGTGGGCCCTTCAGACAAAAGTTGTGCACACATTGACAAAAATCAAAGCAAGAACATCACCCAAGTAAAAGCAACTATCCAACTTAACTCCTCAGTGGGCACAGTCTTAAAAGTACTGCCTCCATGGAGTTTTAGCTATGGCCAGATTAACTTTGGAGTCACAAATGAGTTATAACTCGAGTTAGCTGTGCAGTACTGAACTGCAATTCAGAACGGGTCTGCCAAAACTCACTTCTAAGACTTATTACAAGAGAAACAGCGTGACACCTTCCTCCAAGAAGCAACTAGAGACCAGCACAAATGATGGGGGCAACTGTATCTGGCAAACTCAAGTCACAGGTTTATATCAACCAGCAACTTGTCTCGAAAATAAGCAAAACGTGACTGTTACTACCATCCATGCCTATCCCAGCCAGCACGGAGAATCCAAACAGGTGGAGGCTACGCTGTGCAGATGGTGCAAAAACTGAAAAGTACATGTAAACTAAAACCCCGGGGAAACTAACTACATACTCTGAGAGCGCCATGCATCCAGAAACCACTTTATAAGCATTGTTTAGATTAATGCTTTTCACTTCATTAAGAGTGTACATTCATGCATGTTTCCTCACACGGAAGAGAAAACTGAATCACTGAAAATAACAGAGAGGCAAAACTGTATATTTTGAAATATCTATCTCAATACACGCTTCAAGGCTCCAAGAATATCTGAGAACTCTGGTCATTAGCAATACTGTTGCTACAAGTATTTTCTGTGAAAAGGATATTTTCATACACCCTAAAAAGAACAGAAAGATTGATGCTTTGAGGTCAACCTCTACAAAGCTAAACAAAACATCCCAGACTTCAAAGCTTTCAGTTCCCTCCTATGAAAACAGAAAGCGGCATCCAAAAGTGACAGGTACTGTAATATTTACAAGCCTTTGCCAAAGTGAAAGTTCCTTAGCTGGATGAATTTAAGGAATCAGATTTAGTTTACAGATACTTGGGAACAACTTTGGCTTGGCAGTTCTCCCACCCATATGCTTAAGGCTCACAAATAACTTTGCCTTCAGAGTGCAGACGCAGAGGGATGTATGGTTCCATCTCGCTTCCCTCCGCTTCTCTCCCATGCAAACAGCAAAGGGAAAGAGGTGATTCAGCATCCCTGCCGATTACATGACACTTGCATGGGGAGATGAAGGAAGGGGCAAACAGTAACTTCTTTGACTTTGTACTTAGAAAAGACCACCTGGATCAACAAAAAGTAGCAGAGAGGAGACTCTTAGCATCTCAAAGTGCTCCTGCTGACTTTGCACAGCTCTGGCATTTTCTCCACCAAGAAGGCAATTCTAGCCCACTGAAGCCTCTAAAGCAGACCCTTAATTCACAGCCAGACCTGAGGACAAACAAACCCTCATTCAATGCAGGATTTCAGTATGGCCTAGAGCAAGAAAGCGGCTCCTCTGAGTTTAATTGCACACACTGCAATCCTGAAGGCAGCAGTAGATTTAAAAGAAAGTTCACCAGCTGCCAGTGATGATCCTCTCCTCCTTCCCAGAGTGGCAAACACATGCTGAAGCATTCTGTGATCTCCAAACCCTGCTATCAGAGTGACAGCATTCTCAGCACATCTTCTCTGCACTGAGGTCCAGTCCAGACCTAATTCAATGACTAAGGGTCAATCTCAGTAGTGTTTTCCAGCAGCATGGAACTACACCATACAATCCACGAAGTGCAAGCAAACACACAGCGGTGTGTTGAACCCTCCCCTCTTCTCCTGCCGAGGTAAGCTGCTTTAGCAGGATCTTACTGAGCTGCGGTCAGGCGCTGGACCCTTGGCCACTACCATGGCTTCTTTGCAGACCAGTAGTGACCAGTCACCATGGGAAACCATCGCCAAAGAGGACAAAAGTAAATACTTAAAAAAATAAACATAACAGTCTAGAGGTGAGAATGGGCAACATGAGCGTGGCCCCACCGCTGACCCTTCATATTGACACTACAGCCTCATGCTCCAGTCCAAAACCAAGCAGTATTCTCATTTGCATCAGGGAGCCTTAGTGAGGATGAAGCACTTCTACAAAAGCAGTCTGAGAGCTATTAAAGTATGAGGCCACAGCCATGGTATGTCTCCCACGGAGCTGCACCGCTAGCAGAAGTGACTCTGTATGTGTGTCAGGACACAGAGCTGATACAACCCAGACACTGTGCAAGGAGCCGACGCTGATGCTCTTCTACCATTGGTACTCAGCTCTGTGCTGCATGCTGGGATGCCACTGACTGGAAGACACTTCTAAAACAGCAAGTTTGGAGAAGACTCTGCCTCATCTTCCATCCTTGGCTACATACGAGCGCCCTTAGTTCCCAAGAGATTATTACAAACACAATTTCTATGCCTTCTACTTTGGATCTGAAACTAAACTCAGTTACTTCCTCCCTCCCTTTGCATATGTAGATTGAATCCCACGATAAACAGATAACCATGATTATTAACGCTATCTTCATGTAGCCCTTACTGAACTGAAGTT